CAGGCCCAGGGAGGGCAAGAGGCGCGACTGAGGCTGGGGCAACCGAGGGGCTCAATGGTGCTGAATCCAGGGGGGTCCAACCCCGCCACCGGCAAGGGCACCCTGACACTCCCTGCCTGCTCCCCAGGCCGGCAGCGTGGGCAGCGTTCCAGGATCTCTGAGCAGCAGCAGAGCAGCCCGGGAGCCTGGCACGAGCCTCGCTGGGGACTTTGGGCCCCCCTGGATTAGATGCACGAAGGCAACCCGAAGGGACTGGGGGAAGGAGCTTCTCTTCATCCGGGCTTCGTGCTATTTCTCCATCCCCACCCGAAATCTCGCTTGCGGTTCATTTTCACTCCTGGTCCCGGAGGCATCGGGGCAGCGCAGTGGGCACAGGGATCCCAGCGAACAGAGTTGGTCTCCAGACTGTGGAGCTCATGAATTCAGTTCATGGTTTTATTTAAAGCAAATTGAGAGAAGTGTAGTCTGGGTTAATGAAGCCAGGCTGCTGCCATCCTCAGAGGGACATCAGGGGAACGACCGCCCCGACCTCGCCGGGCCCCGGTGCCATCGCTGCAGGGTGGCGTGAAGCTTGCTGGTCACAAAACAGGGCGGGAGAGCCCATCACCGGGGGTCCCCTCGGGCCTTGCCTTCACAGAGTCGCTTTTAGGAACGAAACACAAGTGCAATATCAACGCAGCGCTGTAGCAACTACAGGAGATGTTCACAGCCCCCCCAACCCACGGCAGGTTTAAGTATTTCCTAAATCAATAGAGGTTAAAATAAACTATTTTCATTTTTAATAGGTATTAAATTGAATGTTTTAAAAAAAAAAAAAAACAAAAAACCACCAACAAAAAAAAGGTGTTGTCCCTGGTTATGTTTGTGTGTTCTCTGCATATCCCCGGTGTGCAGGGGCTCGTTGCTAACCCGGGTCCCCACACGGGCTGGGGGCCATGCCCCCACCAGCCCCATGGGGACGCTGCAAAGCCCAAGGGTTGGTCCAAGCCCTGAGGGGCTGCAGGCAGGACCAGCCCAGGAGCTGCTTTCCGGGGGTTTGGACCCTGCGGCAGCCCCGGGTCTCACCGAGGGCCGGGCTTAGCTGGGAAGATGATCCGGGGGCAGCCGGGCTCTCCATGCTGACGCCGGCGGGGATGCGGAGCAGGTGCTTTGGCAGCCGTTTGCGCCCGCTCCCATTAATGGTGTGAGCGGCCCAGGAGGTGAAACGGGATCGCTCCCCTCTCTCAGCCCCCCTCCCTCCCCTCGCCCCCCGGCTCTGGCTCCCGTCCTGGGAGCAGGGTCAGCACGGGGCGATGCAGACGTGACCCGGCAGGGAGCCCCACACCACTGCCAGCGGCTCGCCATGGCCCCTGGCTCAACACAGGGATGGGTCCCCCAATAAGGGCTGCTCACTGCGAGGGGATTTTGCCTCTTGTTCTGCTTTTGCAGGAGGAGCTGTGGCCAACGGGGGCTCAGTGATGGGCTGGGGGCTGGGAAATGGCCAGAGGATGCTGCGGGTGGCGGGGGGGCTTGGAGAAAGCAACAACCACCCTGCCCGGCCACTCCAGGAACAGAAGGCAAGGGTTAAATAAGCGTGGTCCTGGCCAGATCCGCCAAGCCTTGCCCTCCCATGGTGCCCGTACCCAGCCCAAGCCCTGCCACGGGGTCAGAGCCACGCTGCAGCACGGCCCCACGGGCACCTCGAGCGTCCCCGGCATCAGGAGTGGGCGTGGGGAAGCACTGGGCTGCAGAGCAGCCCCCAGGGACCGGCACATTTACAGACAAACTCAGAACCAGAGCAACGCTAATGAGC